CGCCCACACCAACACCCACACCCACACCCACACCCACACCCACACCCACACCCACACCCACACCCACACCCACACCCACACCCACACCCTTAGTGACTGGAAGACCTGGCCAGGAGCGAATGTTGTTGTCTGGTCTGGTAGCTCTCTTAAAGTCCCCAACGATCGCGCCATACTTTCAGGTATCACTTTACGAATCGGAGTTATTGAATCGCTACCATTCACGATGATTACCAATGTCGTAAGTGAATCAGGAAATGCAATAAACAAGCTAATTGGTTATGTACCAGATCTAATTGAACTTTTACGAAATAAGATGGGGTTTATACCTGAAATCATATTAGCTCCGTCAAATGAGACATATGCTGGATTGATCGAAGGAGTCGCCCTTGGTGTCTACGACATAATTGTCGGTGATGTGACCATTACTGCTCTATGTTGAAAAAAAGTCGGCTTTTCAAGTTCGATCTTCGATAATTCTTTACGCATTATTATTCGAAAAAAATCTGTTGTTGGTGTAGATTTCTTGTCATACTTGAAACCGTACGCCTTCACTCTCTGGATGGTTGTACTCGATGCTAGTATCTATGCTAGTTTCTTGATCTGTCTATTGGAGAGAGAAGGAAACGAAGAATTACGAGATAGACATTTAATCTCTTCTGGTGCAATGAGTATGTGGTATGCCATAAGCAATATGATGGGACATGGTGAGCATTATCATCCTGTGACAGCCGCTGGTCGTGTATTAGCTATCGGTTTATATATCGTGAGTTTAATTCTTGTTGCAACGTATACAGCGAACCTAGCATCGGATCTGACGACATCTAAAGCAAAGAATATCATATCTGGTATTGATGATATCAAAAATGGAAAAATACCATATCATCGTATTGGTATTTGCGTAGGTACGACTAGTGAAGATTATTATTTACGAGAAATTTCCGGTGGTAGACGAACCTTTTATCCCTTAGCATCTCGTCAGGAACTCTATGATAGTCTACTCCATGGTATCATCGATGCATCGTTCATGGATATTGGTGTGGCAGAATATGTTACGAACAATATCTATTGTAATTTAACTTTAGTTGGTAGTGATTTTGATAGGAACACTTTCGGTATTGTCTTTTCGAAGGAATGGCTCTATGGAAAAGACTTAGATTTGAGTATATTATCACTGAGAGAGTCTGGAGCTCTAGATGATTTGAAAAAGAAATGGTTTCAAATGAATAACTGTCCGGATACATCGGAGACATCTAATGGTATGCGAATCGAAGATATGAGTGGTCTATTTCTTACCTTTGCCATTATCAGTGTACTATCATTAACTTTATTTGCATGGAAGAAGCGCTCTATGATAAAGGACTGTCTGTGGAGACGATTATGTCGACAGAAATTAGTCATTCAACCTCATTCTCCTATGGTGAAGAGTTCACAAGACGTTTTATCTACGGTAGTGAAGATTTAAACAAAGAACGAAACTACTTTTGGATATCAAATATTCGATACAAAAGACTTCTTAAACGTTTCTTGATGAACTTCACGAAGTAGTAGATCACCAGTATCTGTAAAAAATCATTTGTTAATCCTTGAGGTATCAGAAATTGATGCGCATGTGATGCATTGCTACCACTAGTATAGCTAATTGTCGAATACAACAGAATGCATGAGTAAGAAAAACATATCCGAAATATTGTTTGCAATTTTGATTAGAACCAAAATGAACCGCAGATTTAGCAGATCGGAATTCAAATGAAATAAGAATATTGTTAGAAAAAATGATTGCAAATTCATCATTTATCACACGCTTGTTATTTGCGATATTAGCTTGATATGCAGTTGTCAACAAAACTTATGTAGCAATTTTATTGTAGGATCAGATCAATACTTCATTAATACAGATATCAACGATCTGCGCAAAATTTGATTTTTTCTTCGTCTAACATCAATCCTCGTGAGAAAATCAGAAACGTTGTCTACAATCCTTCATGTAAAAGAAAATAATATTCAATTGTCTTCAAAATTGCATCAACTGTAATAGACTCACATGGACTTCATTATGGTTGACTTTGATGGTTTGAAATATTTGTAGTTTCACTTTAATCGTTGTTTTTTTTTGAACAAACACGAAATGGTAACACTCGTGCTGACTAGGTTGTCACAGAACATCGGCAAATGAACATGAAAAATATAGACGATGTGGATGAGGAAATGTTGCAAGAATGACATGATTAGTTTGATAGCAGTACCAGCATTCTTCTGCTCGTCTTCGTCGCAGAGAAAATGCACGAAAATGTGTGCACGTCTGTAATGAATCTGTTTTTAGGATAACATAAACACTTATAGTCGTAAAATCAGTCCTTGTCGATCGTCATGAGTGTATCACTAACTAAGGATCGATCGACGAACAGCCACATGATGATGATTCGATATGCTTTCACATTAGAAGATCAAACTTAGTAGTATATTCAACAAGCGATGGTTATGTATGAGAATCTTTTCGTTCATCATTGAGTTTGTAAAATACTCCTAATAACTGTTCACTTACGTCGGTATCAAATCCACTGACATATTCAGCTAGAGCATCGTACATTTAAATTGAATATTCAATGTTCGCTTCATTACCATCGCCATATTCAATATGCTCTACATAAAAACTGATAGAACAATACTAATTACCATCATAATGTATATAAAGAGACTTATAGGCAATGCATGGGACTCTTGGTAATCATTGATCTTCATTGGAGTGTGGATGTGGATGAAGGTATACTTTTAGTCAGAATTACGTCCTATAGAAGAATGACTGATTGTATCGTTGTGTACCAAGGAGGCATGAAAAATCGTATAATGAAACATAGTTTTTCGGGTTCTATTTATACTAGAGCTCATGATCAAATGGAAACATGAAATTTGTTCCTTGTTGTCTTAATTCTTTTTCCTTTTCCTTCTTTTATGTTTGTTGAGGTACATTTATATATGATTTATCATGTTATCTTAACATAAGCCTGTCTGTTAACGTAAATTCGATAGATCAATTAAAAAACAATTTGTTCATGTTTTATATAAATAGAAACAATTGATATAAATTTTAGTCTTATTCAAAATATTTACACCATAGAAAAAGTAAAAATTAAAACAATTAGAAATTTCATGTATCCATCCGATGATGACTACTAGTATAAAAAGGAATCGAAATATGATGTTCCATCATATAATTTATTAAAAAAAAACTTGCACATATATTTTTTTTAGCGGTATTTTTTTTGATACTTATCAAAAACATTGAACGAAACTACAAGTTACAAAGATTATCATTAAATTAATTTAGAACTGCTCAATCTTCAGCTGGCATTGATTGGGACACAATTGAAGGTATAAATTAAATTTATCATTATTAAAGTGAATATTATTTTCATTTACAATTTTAGTTATTAGCTATTTCCATTCTAAATGGCATATATTTCTATGAAATGAACAAGTGGCGAGGAGAAAAAAATCTATAAAGACGATGCAATAAAACAAGTTTGTTTTTATTTAAGATCAATATTCTCCAGGTGAAGAGGTTTTTTATTGTTGCATATCGTGGCTTGAAATTTATGTTTGTATGAGGTAGCACAAGATCAGTTCCTTGTATTTATTCTCATAATTTTATATTTAAAGTTATTCATCAAATAATATAATTTCTTCTTTACACTGGAATCCCATTTGATTCTCTGTTATTACTTATGCAACAAAAAAGTATGTCTCATTTTTTAAAATATTTATCTAAATATATCGTCTCTGGGTGTTGTATCATAATTAGCATTAACATTAATAACTAATTCCAATGCTTTATTATTATTGACATTAAAATTAATTAAAACCAAAATGTGAGCATTACATTTGGATTGTTTTTTATTCTTAAACATATGCTAACTACAACTGGATCTTGGACAGTTGATCCATGTATTAGAATTAAAAATAGTACTGATTTAATACTAACAGCTTGACATTAATTAACTTTAATACAAATAATGCTGAAGCATTAGGTATAATTGTTACTGTTAGTGCTTATCCATTAGCACTTGTTAATACTAATCCTAATCTCACACACGTAATACCGTCAAACAGACGCGGCGGTGCTCATTAGGCTTTGGCAGGCTCAACTCACAACGTAATATTCGTACATCTATTCAGAATTCCTATGACTTGCATAAGAATTCTTTGTTGAAATATCAATTTGATTGAATTCGAATTAATACATTAGAAGAACATTCAGAGTCAATGAAGAAAATGATATCACGAAGGAAACTTTGTTGAAAAACCAAGATATCATTTCCTATT